GGTCAATAAGAGACGCTGGCCGGGCAGGGGGAGAAGTCGCCACTCAGGGGGTGGGCTGCGGAGGTGCGGGTCCGGTCAGTGCGCTTCATGGCGGTACTGTAATTGCATTTTCATCTTTCCTTTTGCTGTTCTGTTAAATTGCATTCTTTAACCCACGAGTTTTGCCCTGACGATATCTTTTTCCACGACTGTGGGAGTTGTGCGAGCGGCTGCGTGGTTCTTTGTTGCTGGCTGAGGCCAAACCACGCCACCATTATAGCTAATAAATTAAAAAAATAGTTACATGTTATTGTTTCCTTATCATGGAATTGTGACATGATGTAATGGGGCCTGGTCTTGCACTTGATGAATTACTCTTAAAACTTGTAATGACTTAGCATGAGTAGTGTGAAGTCTTTAGCTGATTTTCAAGAGTGTGGTACCTGATAAAACACCTCCTGTGTTATAATACATGCTGCTGGATGGCTGCAGCTTGCTCTGTTGGAATGGCAATTGGTAAGCACCTTGGCCATGCAGTTATTGCCATTCCAAACCCTACGCCAAGCAGGAAGTTAATGTTTGGTGTCGAGTTGTAAAATAGAGGGATAATCTGCTCCTATTGTACAGCTGACGCAGACGGTAATGGGCCAGTGTAATTGCTATGCTCTGCTGGAATATTTTAGTTCTATGTTATTTTTAGAAACAAAGGTGATATGTTAGGCAAAATGGTTTGCATTTAATGGTATTAGAAATTAGGACACCTATTCCAATGAGTGTTGAGTGTTCCGAAATAGCTGTTAAAAGAAAAAAAAAAGGGGGGAGGGGAAAAAAAAAAAGGAATGCTAATATACTTTGATCCAAGAGGGCCCATGACAGTAATTTACTATGTGGTGTAGCACTGCGTAGAGTTCTCACAGGTATTTGTGTCAATGCATAAACTTCTCTGTTTTGTAGATGTAGTGAAGTTGGAGATCATTATGTAATTTTGCTAATTCAAAGGTGGTGAAAACCTTTGGTAGAGGAGCTGGTGTATGCTGTCCTCACAAGTTGACCTAGGAATATAAGCCATGTTTCAGTTCCCCGCACAATGCCTGACGTTAAATTGTTGTTGAGCGGTGGAGCTGGGCTACTTTCAGAGAAAATGTTGTGTCAATAGTTAAGTGTGAAATATAGAAGTTTTCACTGAAATACAGTAGGCAGAGGAGACCAGAGCATAGCAGTCTGTGACATCAGTATTTTATTTGTCTTTCAAATAACATCCTACAGTCTTAGGAAAGTCTACATGAAAAATATACTTGAATGAGAAGGGTTCTTCAGAGGTATGTAATTTATCAACCTTCAAAATAGGATTCCTTGGTGGCTAAATTAAAATTTAATTTTGCTGTAGAATGGAATATAGTGAAAACTGAAATACTGCTGATCTTGCATCCAAAAAGAACAGGAGTGAAATATCCATATAATACTAGTTTAGTTATAGAGTGGCTCTGGTCTTCAGACTTGTTTATTTCCTGGTGTGTTACATGAATAGTTTAATGTTTGCATTTTTAATAAAAGTTTTAACAGTGAAAGAGCTGAATTTGATTTACAATTTAATAATCAGACTAAAGTTGCCTTTCTATGTTTTTGATCTCGCTAGGTTGGCAGCCTCGGTGGTTCGTTTTAGACAATGGGATATTGTCATACTATGATTCACAGGATGATGTTTGCAAAGGCAGCAAAGGAAGTATAAAGATGTCTGTGTGTGAAATAAAAGGTAAGAGTTAATAGATTTCTACTTGAGGAAATTTTAGCTACTGAGGAAATAGAAAAGGTCACCCAACATACATTTTGCATCACAAGCTTTTCCTCCTCTTGTTTTTGTTTCTCTATACTCGAGTGTGACTGCTTCATAGTTCACACAAAAAATAGTGAATGTGAATCATGAAATGGTGACAAAGAAAAATGCTGTTGACAGTTAGAGCTCAGTTTTGACATTTAGGACCCACCACACATTCCTTTTTGTTTTAATAACTTGTGTGCACATGGCTTATGCTTGAAGTTACCTTTGCCAGGTATTTAGTTCTACTGCTTATTCCCCTTATAACCAGGGATAAGAGACTGATTCATAAATGCTGTTTTTTCAGAAAAGCAGCGGCAGTGACCTGAAGGGGGAGATTCTTATAAACCAGAGATGTTTAGTCTTTTGTTTTCCTGAGTAATTTTTACTCTTGTCCCTGTTAGCAGGTGCGCACGTGCGTAGCTGGAGGTATTAGAGTTAGCAAGTGAACTGTTTGTGTCAGACTGTGAGTTTAGCCTTTAGTGTATACTAAGCTGTAGGTCAACCTCCTTGGCTAATGGCAAGGCATTGTCTAACTCTCCCTTGCTATCAACTCTTGGCCTCTTTCCAGATACCTGCAGATGACTGGGCTTGTGATGTGGGCACTTGTACATTAAAAAGTGGGACTTCTTATTTTATATGGGCCACCAAGTATTTTTCATGTGGTAACCCCTATTTGTTACTGTTTCCTTGGTGTAGATGAAATCAGTGATGTAAAGTGGAAGACCCCATTTTTTTTGCCGATTCCAGTTTTTTGTTTTCTTGTCAACTTGTCCTTTTGGTGAAGGGAAGATAATAGTTGAAGTCTGGATTTGGTGTAGTCTTGTGCATCCGTTGCTAGCACGGAGTGGGTCTGGAAGAACCGGGGTTGATTACATGAAACTCAGCAGAGTATTAAGTTAAAGATAATATTGAATGTAATAGACTGTAGACAAAGTCCACCTCAGTTCCTGGTTCTAGGGCGCTGTGACATGAAACCAGATTTCATCTATAAGGGAGATTATTTCAGTTTTTAGCCTAGTCCTCTGTAAATACATGTCCTTGCAACAAAACCCTTCAGTTTGCCATGCTTAGATCAGGTTTGGAATACAACAGTTACTACAGATTCATATGCAGTATATTGTTAATGCAGAAAGGGAGTCCCACTGTACTTAAGTCTGGCCACTGTTTGGTGTCTTGTGTTCCTACCTGTTGACTTGAAGGCATGCTGGGGAAAAGGGTTGAGCAGCTTACGGCTTTTTGTTATTTAGCAGTGGTACGTTGTGACTTACTATGGGATTGTAATGAGCATCTTAAAATACTTTGATCAGCATTTAATAAATAATTGTTACTGAGTTGAGGTTGGTTTTTTTTTTTTTTTTAAATTGTTTTTTTTCTCCTTTATCATAAGTTCATGCAACAGACAACACAAGAATGGAGCTAATCATCCCAGGGGAACAGCATTTCTATATGAAAGCAGTTAATGCAGCTGAAAGGCAAAGGTGGCTGGTAGCACTGGGGAGTGCAAAAGCCTGTTTAGCAGATACCAGAACAAAAAAAGAAAAAGGTATGTGTGTTAACTAGAGTATATACAATCTTACCACTTTTTAAAATGCTTGTTTTCAGGTAATGATAGTGGAAATACTGAGGTAGAAAGTCAGTATTACTGTCTTGAAGTAATCACGATTTATATTTATAGTCATCCAAATGGTAAATTTCCCCTTGATGTTTGAAGTAGAGTTCACCTCCATTGACCTCTTCTATCTTAAGAAACTGAAATACCAGCAACTTCTGTCATTACCAGAACAAACGTACTGTTTATAGCTGTTGTGAAGCTATTTAGTTTCTGCTGTTTTGATTCTTTATAATTACTGGGGTTTTTTCCATAATTTTTCTTGGATGGCTTAATGTGACCATTTCCAGCCACTTTGGTAGGTGTAAATTTCATCCACTCAATTTTTTCTACATTACTTTTCAGCTAAGAAAGATTTCAACTTTATCTTTCTTAGTAATGTGCCTCTTTCTTAATGGTCATTAAATTAGCCTCAGTTATCCAAAAGTACAAACTATTGTCTGCTTCAAGTACGGTTCTTGACGTATTGCAGAATTTAATTTTCTTCAAAATTAAGTGAAAGTTTAAGTGAATTTTTCAATTGATATTTAAAGTTAAATGAAAAGTGCTTAAAAATTAAAATGTGTATCTACATTGCATGCAATAAATTGATGTTCCCTTTATTTTTTTATAGAAATAAGTGAGACCAGTGAATCTCTTAAAACCAAAATGTCTGAACTTCGTCTCTACTGTGATCTTTTAATGCAGCAAGTTCATACAATACAAGAATTTGTTCACCATGATGAGACTCGCTCTCCTCCCAGCATTGAGGTACAGAATTTCAAGAATGCCATTGGAGAACGTAACTATATAATACACCTCAAGTTTCTGTTGACATCTTATGCCTTTTTCATCTCTCAAATTTTGGGACATTTAACCGAAGGTCAATTTTTCAGTGCTTGTGTGTATATAATACTAACAGTGATTATATGTGCATAAAGTACCTGGATGACTTAACTGTAATTGTAACATGCGTTAGGAAGCAATTGTGTTACTGAGTCATTTGGTTAAAAGGCCAGAAGATCTGCCGTATGAGTTGTGCAATAATGTGTCTTGTTTTGCACCTCTGTTATGGGCAGAATAGTTGAAACAATCTTGTTTGTCCATTCTTTACCTCCTTGTGTAGGAGGGTATTCCATTTTGTTATCAGTGAAAGATACTGTTACAGGTATTGGAAACCTGCAGTGTAGATAAGTCTCTCTGAATACGCACAAGTAACATTATTCTAGTGTTTCTGCTTTTGAATGAAAGTTAGTACTGGAAATTATTAATGGCTTCATTCTTTACACTTTTGAGAAGTGTGTAGACAATATTGTTGTCCACTTAGGGCAAAGCGAGGGGTTGATGCTTAGCCACAGCACAGCAAATTGTTTTCAATTTACAGCAAGGTGAAACTGACCTGCAGGCTTCTTGCACTGGAGCGATAAAGCTGTCTGCACGTTCTGCTGCAATTCATTTGTTTCACAGAATGATTTTTTTGATACCAGCTAGTCACTCCGAGACAAGCTTAGCAGTAAAAATGCTACGGCATTGTTGGCTGATACCCTAAAGAAATTCAGATGTCAGAAAGAAATTACGATGCTGTCACATTTGTTTGCTTAAATTAACCTCATAGGAAGGTGCACGTTTGATTAAATAAAATGGGAAATGGAAGTTCTTAGTGGTAAGGAGGGAAATTAGTGTGTGTGTGAGTGGTGGTGGGGGAGAGTTGAATTTGCATCTTTTCTTTTTTTTTTTTTCTTGCTTATGCTTGTGCTTTCATTTTTTTTTCAGAACATGAATGAAGCCTCTTCCTTGCTTAGTGCCACATGTAATACATTTATCACAACACTTGAAGAATGTGTGAAGATTGCTAATGCCAAGTTTAAGCCAGAAATGTTCCAGCTGCCTCACCCTGATCCCTTAGTTTCTCCCGTGTCGCCATCACCTGTCCAAATGGTGTAGACATTTTGAAATACTATTTTTTCTAAGTGTTACAGTGCTGGTTGGATGGGGGGAAGAATGGCAGAAGACTATGCTATTGCTGTGTGCTATGATGTCAGCAGTTGAAATCTTGACTCTATTATGATCAGTACTGGTCCTAAATAGAAACCAGTAACTTTCTAATCCCAGTCTTTGTTTGCTAGCCTTTACATAGTCAGAGTAATTTATCGTACATGTCAAGACCCTGTAATGAGGTATCTCATAAATGAATGAGGTTTAAGTTTTCCTCAGTTCAACTGTTTCTTTGTTTTTCAGAATGCTAGCTGTACACTGACCTTAAAAATTTCATAACCTTGTTTCTGCTTAAACAGATAAGTGCCTTGTGGCTTGAAGCACTTAAGCAAGATAGCATATGTCTTGCTATTTCTGTATATCATAGCAATTAAATGGTTCTATGTGTGACTTTGGAGCAAGAGACCATGAACTGCATAGAAACTAAGTAGTACTTTTTGTAGTAAACTATTACCTGTGTGAATGCTTTAAAACTTTTCATATTGATGGTAATCCATCTCTTTTCATATAGTTAAATCAGATTTTTAACTAAGAATGGTTGCTTTTAATTAAAAAAAAAAAAAAGATTGCCCTCTCTTTGTAGAGACGGTAAATAAAGTAAAAATTAATATAGGCATGCATATTATTCTTATAAATAGCTTGTAACGTTTTTGGTGGGGTTTGTTGTTTGTTTATTTATTTATTTATTTTCCATAGATGAAGCGTTCCATTAGCCACCCTGGTCCTTGTTATTCAGAAAGGTAATTTTTTCTTTTATTGAGCTTTTTTCTTATGTCTCAAAAAACCTCCCTGAGCCAGCTAGCATTAAAATCAAGAAGAATTGTTCACTTGGGGGGGGGACGGGGGGCACAAACAGCATAAATTGATCTAATTTTGAAAACTAAGGGTGCAGATTTTCAGTGTTGGTTAAAAATAATGCAGCTGCTGTATCTAATACACTATAAACATTTCTTCATGCTAGAAACTTACTCTGGCAAGTTCATGAAATTAGACATTCTTTTTGGGTCAGTGTTTCAGATTCTCAAGGTTTCTTCTGCATGCAAAGATTACATTGCATTTTTATTTCCATTTTCAGGCTTTTAGGTAATTTTTAATCTAGTATAATGAAAAAAATTGGTACAGTTTAAGCATCAAAATTGTTTTAAATTTAAATTTTGTGGGGGTTGTTACAGGTTTTACTTGCTAATAGATCTCATTTCTTTTGTAGGAATAATCACGCTGTAAAAGAACCGATTCCATCCCTTCACCGATTTTCACAGCGGCGCAGAAGAACATACTCGGATACAGAGTCTTACAGTGATACTCCCCTTGAAGATTCTCAGAGTAAGTTTGGAAGAGGAATGTTTTCCTTTTGTATCTTTCTGTACAATTTATTATCCTGTTTACAGCAGCTGTTCTAGTGCTGATACCAGCACAAGGGAAAAAAAAATTTCTTAGTTATGCAAAGTTTTGGTTGTAAGATTCCTATATCATAAATCAAAGCACTCGTGTAGTTTGTTACGGTGCTGACATTTGCTGGCTTTCATTCATATTGAAAAGGCTCTTACAGCTGGAATAGTTGTATTGAAATCAGTGAGACTACTGGCAAGATAAAATAGAGACATAACCAGAAATGGGTTGTTTGTACTGATAGAATCTTACATGAATCATGTTCTGGTAAGTGCTGTGGAATGCTGTTGTTTGCCACCTGCTTGTTGTCACAAGTTCTGTCTTTGACCCCTGTGAGTAGCAGAGGATAAGTTTCACCCAGTGCGTTGCAGAAATATGGTTCATTTCAGTGACTGCTTGACTTTTGTAGAGAACAAAGAGTGCAACCTTGCCAATAATAAATAAAAGCAACCCAAAAATTATGAAATGATATCATCATCAGAATATTATTCACCCCTGATTAGATGGGCCTACCAAGTTAGTAGCCAGTTCTTCTGTGGTTTTTCCTTTGCAATCTTGTGGTAATTTTGACTCCATCCTAACTCCTCTCTGGGAGACTTTAACTTGACTAGTTCTGGTTTAGTTTTGTCTTCCTTTTGGAGTGCCTAGTGCCTCACTTGGATTGAAAAAACCTGAGGCCAGTGCATTGCTGAAAGCCCATGTGATCACTAAGAGGCACTAATGCTTTACATTCTATCATGAAACAAGTATTCACACCTCTGCACCGTTCCCTTGGTTCTCTGATGCTCACATGTTGCAGGGTGACCACCTTTGTCACCTCACTTACCTGCCACTGGCATAGGGTATGCCAGCATGTATAGGACCTAAAGCTTACTTTAGGTCCTATTCTGTGTGTCATTGCTAATGTAGGTGCACATCAGTCTAGCTTCCTATAACGCAAGGCTTTTGTTGTTAGCATCTGGACATTCTGGTGTTGGTTACACAGTCTGACTCTTTTCAGGACTGCTGAAAAGAGTCTTTGTCTTGTGTATTTCTGCTAATGCTTTTTTGGTTCCTTACTATGTAGCTCTAGTTTCTAGCTCAGTTTCGGTGGGTTTTTTTGTTTGGGTTTTTTTTTTTTTTTTGTTTTCCTTTACTGTGTTAGAAGCTGCCCCTGCTACCTTCCAGTCATCTTAGTCCTTTCTCTGTACTGTCAGGTAGCCTAGCAATACCCAACTTGCAGTAAATCATCTGTTTCATTTTAATAATAGAAAATGTTCTAATTGAATGCTTATTGATGCATCAGTTCTTTTAAAAAAAAAAAAGTTCAGGTGTTCCTCATGCAGAATATGTCTGCACCTCAGATTACTGTCCTTCATAATGTAAAAATCATTGTGTATAAAAATAAAGAAAAATTACTTGATTTATACTAGCTGAACATTCTTCATATCCATCATCCTTGGGCATGATATTGCTTGAAATGTTTCAGGAAAAGTCCGGCGTAATTATGCTTCTGATTGCTTATGTATAGGAAATAGTTAGCAAATAGAGTAACTGACAGATTGGATGAGGTTTTTTTGGGGTTGAAAATTAAATATTTACTGATATTTTTGTAGGATCTGCTCACTGTTCTAGAAGTGCTGTCAATGGAGATGTGGTATCATCAACCATTCCTGAAGAAAATAGATCAGTATCAAAGGAAGGATCTGAGCTGGAAGAGACTCTTTCATCCCTTTCTTCCTGAAGAAACTGAAAGTATTCAATTTTCTATAAATAAGGCTATGCAAAAGCTGCTGTAATTATACTGTTGTTATAGGAAGTAGTCATTTCCCTTTTTAGAAGGATTTCTCTGCACTTTATAGAATAACATAAAAACTATCTTTGAAGTGTATTTTATCTTTATATAGTTTATTTGCAAGAGTATTTTCCTAATATTTCACAGTTTGAATGTGCATTTTTTGGAACAAACGATGGCTTAACAGATAAGCATCCACATTTGTAAATGTAGCTCTTTTTAAAAAGTGTGAAGGTCTGACTGATACATTAGTAAACCTGCAGGTTATAAACTTCAGCAAAAAGGTTTAATTTTTTGGAGAAAATGCAACCTGTGCCATGGGCGTCTTGGTCATTTGTACCAGGTCATCCACCAGGAGCTGTGATTAGCCCAGCGATGGCTTTTTTTGCCTCTGTAAGGGCTGTGGGAATGGGCACTAATGGGTCTACTCTAGCAGCTTGATGGTAGTTGACATTGCCTTCTTTAAAAACACAAGGATATACATAATCCGGTCCTTATTTTTAGCCAATGAAAGTAGAAATATTTAGTGTATTTTTCTAAAAAAAAAATAAAAATGTATAAAAGTAACTTAATATGAAGCATTTGTACCAAACAATGGATATTTAATAATTTTTATTTATTTATTCTTTTTTGCATCAAAAATTTCTACCTACTTTCACTACTAAAGATCTAAAGGCTTCAAAATGTGCATAAATTGCTTCTGGGGTGTGTAGCATCACAAGTAGCTAATGCAGCACTGTTATGATTTACACTGCTCACTTAAGATGTGTTTTTAGCAAAGTATTATAGAAGCAAGAGCTGAAATATTAGACCATTAAGCTGCTGTTGTAATGGATATTTGTATCTATACGTCTTTTATTTATGACATATTTATACAAAAGGGAGCTTCTGTTTTTGTGACTCCTTTATATCATTTGAGGGTGGCATACACTAGGAGAGGGATTCTGCTCTCAGTTACATCAGTGTAAATTTGCATTAACTGTAAGTGAGATCGGAGTCTGAGTCTTTTAATTAGTGAGTACTATAGTATAACAGTGCCTCCTAGCACCTTGGTCCATAAGGCTGTTAGTGTTAGCATTGTAAGCTTTTGGGGGTTTCTGGGGTATTCATTTAGGGATAAGCTTGGTCTATAAAGTCTTAGCTGTAGCGCACTTTAAGCAAGCCATTTACTGTTTTTGATTTACACAATTGTTAAATAAATGTACAGGGTTTTTTGCACTCAAGCACATACCAAAATCTGTTTTTATAATCAAATCTTCTTTAATTTGGTTTAACTAGTCTTCCTTTTGTGTATATGAAAAATTTGGTGGTTTTGAAGCAGGCTGGAAAGGACAGATGGGAATGGAATGGAAGCATTCCTGATAAATTTCTGGAATGTTGATTTATCTAAATCAAAATAGATCCAAATGTTGAGGAAAAACATATGAGCTGTTGCCCATATATAAAATACTGGTTTATAAACCATTGTGTCAGGGTCGAATGGAATGGTCTGTGCAAGTTACGTTATTTGTGGATATCAGCTCAGAGCTGTCATTTGTGCTCAGTTCTGTCAGTTTTCATGCAACTAGCATTGGCATATGCATATCAGCCACACACACGCTTGGACATTTTTTTTCCTGAATGTTTGCTTTAATGTATTCTGTATGACACTTATGACAATTGTAAAAATAAGTATTAAAAAAGATATTCAGAGAAGTAAATTACGTATTGCAATGAGAGCGTTGTCTGGAATCATATGCTGTCTTAGAGCTGCTTTTTGAAATTTCACTGGGGTTTCTGCCAGCTTGTACAGTGTTAAGTACGTGTCACATTAACAAATATCTCTTTCTGGCTTTCAACTACTACAGAGAAAATAGTTTGGATTCCACATTATGCAAAAAAACAGACTGATCAGTGCATGTAGTAGTAAATAATAATTTTAAATCCTGCCACAGATAGGGTTGTTTAGACAAAAGTTGTAATGATTTGATTCAAACACAAAACTTGCATATAATTACTTCAGCACTGGTTTGGGTTTCTTCATGTTGCTAAAGCAAGAATGAGGGCTTTGTAT